GTATATTCTTAAGATTTAAGAGAAGTTAACTAAGAATCAAGATGTTAATTTCTGTTATCTCCTAAGTAAGCAACTATACATTTTATTTACTTTCAAATTGTTGTGGACAAAATTATACTCTTTGACACAATTCACTAGTCCTCCAATTCAACTAGTTCTCAATGAGATCTTTAAAGGAAATGGTTTTAAACTACTGGTTTGGAGTGCTTAACATTAACCACTACGAATATCTCTGTCTATTGTGCACTTATTTTTGTTTTCTCTTATACTCTTGCCACTGCAATTAAGGATGGAAAAAGTAGCTGCAAAAAGTAGAAGTAGTCAAGCTAAGGTAATGGGAAGCATAATATCAATAGCAGGTGCATTTGTATTGACTTTCTATAAGGGCCCCTCAATCATCAATGGTCATTACCATCTTCCCTCTCCACTTCAACAACAACCAATTAACATTCTTAATTTTGAGGATGCAAGTTGGGTCATTGCTGGTATTCTGCTGATAGCTGGATATGTACTGACTTCACTATGGTACATTGTACAGGTAGGTTAGGAATTGTCTTAAAGTGAGAGGTATACTTACAGAAATTGAAGTGTATAATTGATAACCAATGTAGATGTTAGAGATATATAATCATTATGTAGCCCCAACTTTTGGGTGAGATGGTTGTTTTGCATAGTATCAGAGCCTTGGTGTCTCGGGTTCGATCCTCACTATCTCCCATTTTCTTTGTGAAATTTCTTAGCACAGGTAGGTGAGTCTGCATTATTCACCCTTCATTCTCATTTGTCTCTTGTGTGAGGGGGTGTGTTAGAGAAGTATATAAACCATTGATGGATCTTTACTTAAAAGCTTAAGCTATTGGGTGAGGCTACATTAATGGTTATATATCTCTAACACGCCTCCTCACACAAGAGCCCATTGGGCTTGAAGGGTGGACAATGCACAGACCTACCTACCTGTGCTAAGAAATTCCACAAGAGAAAGTGGGGGCAGTGAGAATCGAACCTGTGACACTGAGGCTCTGATACCATGTAAAGAATCAATTCAACGCAAAAATTTAAGCTGTTAAGTGAAGTTCCATCAATGAATTTTATTTTATAAAATTCTAAACATAAACAATTTAGAATTTTATAAAATAGAAGCACTAGATCATAGATATGTGAGACTATGCTTGCTTAATTTTTTCATTAGCGTTTACCTCTTGCACTTTATTATTCTCTTAATTTTCTTTATATGGAAAGCTTCAAAAAAATTTCAAATTTTTTTATTCCTATATTCATTTAATAGGTGGAAGTCTTGAAAGTGTTCCCGGATGAACTAACTACGGTCTTCTTGTATGACGTGACTGCCACCATCACATCAACAGTTGTATGTTTATTCACAGTGCCAAATACAAGTGCTTGGAAAATAGGACTAAATATTTCACTGATCTCCATTGTTTGCTCTGTAAGATACCCTTGCAAACTGCTGCTATATACACTTTTTAAGCTTGTGTAGTGTATTGATAACACTTTTTTTTTTCTTTAGGGAATATTTGGAAAGTTAATGAGCAATGTAGTTTTCGCCTGGGCAGTGCACTTAAAGGGGCCTGTCTATGTAACATCATTCAAGCCACTCCAAATTGTTATTGCTGTTGCCATGGGAGTTATGTTCCTTGGTGATACTCTTCACATTGGAAGGTATGGCTAATTCAGTTTTTGCATTTGATTCTTGCTTAAAACACAGTGAAGCGAATATAAAATTGTTAGATAAATACAGCAGTTGCATTAAGTGGATTAGAAAAGACTAGAATGAAACAAGATAAGGAAAATGAAGAGTTAGCTAATGGGAAGAACCATGATGGTGTCAAAGAAGACAATTGAGAGAATGACTTCATAATGAAAAACTGACTTGTGGTAGATTTGTTACTCATGGAATAGGTGACCATGTTTGCTTATTCATCCTCAACCTGAAACTAACCACTTTTTGGAAATTTTCTTGCTCATTTTTTATTTTCCACTGATCAAATGTCATTTTAATTAGTTAATATCATTAAGACCCTTTAAAAGCTCCAAATAGTCATGGAATCAGTTCAATTTTCTACTGATACAATATTGTCATATGAAGAAGAAGCTGTTCAATTTAATGATATTGTTTGATGAACTGTTCATTTGCATACATTCTTTCTTCATTTTGCAGTATAGTTGGAGCCACAATAATATCTTTTGGCCTTTATGCTGTATTGTGGGGCAAAGCAACAGAAGAGATAAAGGAAGATGTTGGTAGCCTTGAATCACCAACTACTGAGAATGTTCCTCTCTTGCAAAGCTACGGAACTAAAACTTCTGACAAGAATCCAGATAGAAACTATTATAAGACAAGCAAACCATAATGAACCCATTTTTTTGGTCATAGAACAGCAAAGTGCACAATGCTATGAGGGTCAAAACTCTGGTTTCATTGTCCCTCAAGAGGATCTTGTGCTGCTGAGTAGCCAAGTTGTTGCCCCTCTAGAGGATAATGAAGGGAAGATTTTCAATAGTTCATTGGATATAAGACAATGAATGGGATTTCGTTGAATAGAAGTTCTTTCTTGTCTACTTTCACCATTAAGCAAGGCTAATGATACATAGCCTGCTGTTACTTCTATACTTGATGATATACATACTGTAGTTGTGTCTTAGAATGGAGCCTGCACTGATCTTTCTACAGAGTGGGGGCAACCTTTCTTCAAGTGTTTTATGTAAAAGCTGGCATTTTTCTGTCAAGTATCATGTCATTCTCAATGCAAATATGTATAGGATAAATATATGTTAATTTGTTTAGACAAGAAGTGAAAGTTCCATGTCCCCATTTGAAAGTACCTTAAACTTCCTATACAAAGCATTCTATGCATCTTTATCTTTATTAGAAGTGCATACTTCTCTTCCTCAAATGAAAAAGCATTTTCTCCAAATGACAACTGGAACTAGAGTGACTTTGAAGCCTTTTCAATTACAGATTTTCTGTGCAATGCATGAGATGTTTGTAGAAGTACCTTAGGAAAGATTGCAATGGTTGATAAATATGAAAACTAAAGCAATGTCCTACTCTGGTACTGGTAAAATTGGCTACTAAATTGAAGCTTTTTTCTGGGTGTCTTTTTGAGCATGCTTGTCTCAATGCTACGTTTGTCTGATATTGAATCAAAGAGAAGAAAAAGAATATCAAAAATATAAAGTAAGTCAAATGGAATGTACTATACAAATGAATTACTTAGTCTAGTCATACTGCTGTGGTCCGGACTCAGAAACTGTTGATTTTAAGTCCTGATTTATCAAGAAAAGAAGCACATACCAATCCCATTATTAGATTCTAAAGATTTGAAAATATAGATTGAGAACTCTTGTTACAAGTTAATTCAAGTTTCTTAGAAATAAAATGCAAATTAACTCTTCTAAATCCATGAAACAAGCGACTAAAACACTAGGTTGGTGAAATATAACAGTAGTCATTAAGCCTCTAAAATAATCTACTACTTAATTAATATCAGTAGTAGTTCAGTAGTTAATTCCTTTTTTATTTACAATACTATTAAGTATCCTAGTAGTACTATATATAAGAAAGATAGGTTACATGCGATGCAAAGCTTGGCTTAAGACATAATCAAGAAGATTTTTGGCCTATATTTTAATCCTGTCACGATTGTTTGTGAAAAATTTATATTTTCTAGCAGAGGCATCAGAGCATGCCTATTGTTACTTGTATCCGTATGGCTTCATATTCAAATTACATTTTCTATTCTATTATGTCCCTATCTAAGTTCTTATCTTAGGCAACTGTGCCACCAAGTCCACAGTTATGGTTAGTTGATATTTCGGACTCATTACACAAAATGTGTCACCCTGGTCCCTAGGTCCAGTTGATGCTTCACTTTATCATCTCATCATCCAATATCGATTTAAGAAATAAAATATGAAAAAGTTTAAGGAAAGAAAAAAGCTATTATATTCGAAGGTAAATAAATATCTAATTTGTCCATTTGTGCAACGTAGCTTTCTGTGCTGAGATGGCAAAGTGGGCCAAATGTTCTCAGGGGGCCATTTTTAATGCTAGTGCCGTGTGGTGGTTATTGACATCAACGAAGCACGGAAACTTTTTTTTTTTTTTTTTTTTCTGGAAAAATGAGTGTTAAATACGAGAATATTTTTGGTATCACTCGTTCATATTCTCACAAGTATTTTACTTTATATCAAATCACTTTCTCTTCTAATTTAAAAATAAATTATTTTTTATTGATTTGACAAAAGTAAGACACGCGTCACAATATGAAGGAAAGATTCACCGAATCTATAGTGCATTCGTAGTACCAAAAAAAATTCCATTAAACACGTATTGGATATTGACATGATTCGACATATACCCATATGAGATCAATATTTTGGGACATGCAGTCAACACTCCAACACATTCCGACATATGTCTGATATGCAATTAATGTTTCTTGATACGGGGTCAACGTTCATACAAATTCAAATTTTATTTTATTTTATTTTTTTAATTAAATATAAAAAATTAATTTATAAATCAAATTTTTTCTGTTATGAAATTTGACATGAAAAAGTAATAAAACATGAAAAAATATTTTTGCTTTATATTTATATTATGATATTTTTGCTTTATATTTATATTATGAAATTTGAATATTTGATTATATAACTTATTAGTGTCGGTGAAACATAGACGGACATCGTTGAGCAATTTTCCTATTTTTAAGAAAATGGTAGATAAATAATATCTTTAGAGGTCGTTTGATACGCGGTTTATTTTAGGATTCTCGGGAAACTGAATTTTTTTAAATTTTTAATTTTTGGATATTATTGTAAACTGAATGTTTTCATCGTATTTCTGAAAATCGAGATTTACGAATAAAAGAAAAATTTCCTCTACCAAACGCTACCTTAGTGAAATACATATTTTCCTATCATATCTTATTTAATAATGCAAAATCATTATTAATATAACAGATAAACTTGTATAAGAGTACTGGTGTACTAAGGGGTGTGTTTCTGAGACTGAACCAAAAAGGAAGGTCTTTACCTGTGAGGGATGGACAGAAGGTCTTGTTCAAAGGATTTGCTTCCTTTTGTGGTGCTTGTGGCCAACGAATGCAGCAACACTGGCTTATTCACTTTGTTCAAAGCTGCCACTCTGCAAGGGATGAGTAACTTTGTTTTTGTTACCTATGCTTATGCTCTTGCTACTATTGTACTCCTTCCTGTGTCTTTTTTCTACAGAAGGTTGGTTATTTCTAATTGCATGTCATAAACAAACTGTGTATCTAACCGAACAGTTACTGTTAAATGTTTTGTTTTTGCTTGTATGTTTGCAGATCAAGAGTGGTTCCTCCACTCAGTTTCTCCATCCTATCCAAAATTGCTCTTCTTGGGGTGATAGGGTAAGGGCCCACAATTTGTTAAGGCCTTTTAGTTTTTGATTTTCTCTTACCCTCATCAATCTTGAACTTCTTGTGCTAACTTTTGTTGTTTTGGATTTTGATGGGGGTGAATTGTAGATGTTCATCTCAGATTCTGGGGTATGTTGGCATCAGTTACAGTTCTCCCACTCTTTCTTCTGCAATCAGCAACCTGATTCCTGCTTTCACTTTCATGCTTGCTATCATTTGCAGGTTCCCTTGCCTATCTTATTATTATATTTGACAAATTCTTAGTTTTTTTTTCTTCTTTGTTCAGCTTTTACTTTTCTACTTGAGGATAGTATATTATATGGCAGAAGTACAACTCCCAAGGGGACCTGGTCCATTAAGAGCCCCACCACTCTCTCCCTTTGACTTTACCCTTGATGTAATAGTTTCAAAAATGTTATTTCCACAACATTCTGGTTACCATTTTTACACCAGTTAACAATGTGCAAGTTTTTTTTCATCACCATTTTTATAGGCCCTAGAATCAAGGTTTTACTTTGCTTTTCATCACCAAGTTTGAAAATTGGCATCTTAGAAAGTATTTAGTTTTCATCCGTCCCATTATTATAAGAATTCCTCCTCTCATGTGATATTCAAGAAAAGCAAAACTTGTTAGCAACCAATTTTAATTTTATCACTGATACTATCTTAGTCTATTATCCATTCTTATTTTGTTTTTTCTTACCCTATTACCACCACAATTTAAAGGATGGAAAAGATAGTTGTAAAAAGTAGAACTACCTTAGCTAAGGTTATGGGGAGCATTATATCAATATCAGGTGGACTTATAGTGACTTTCTACAAAGGCCCATCGATCATCATTGCTGATAATTCCCCTTCCTTTCAACTTCCACAATCAAATGGCATTCTTATTTCAGTAGATACAAGTTGGGTCATAGGTGGCCTTCTACTCACAGCTTGCAATATACTACTTACACTATGGTTCATTGTCCAGGTATATATTTGTTGTTGCTATGTATGCAAATATTCAACAAGGTAGTTCTCAAATAATTTTGAATTCTTATATTCATTTTGCAGGTGGAAATCTTGAGGGAGTTCCCGGATGAACTAACTATGGTCTTCTTTTACAACATGTGTGCAGCCATAGTAGCTGCAACTGTAGGTTTATTTGCAGAGAGAAATACCAGTGCTTGGAAAATAAGACCAGATATATCACTGATCTCAATTGTTTGCACTGTAAGATACCCTTGGAAATCTCTGCTGCACTTTGACCTGAAAAATACACTTAAGCTAACACTATTTGTTGATGATGCATTTTGTAATCAGGGAATATTTAATAAGTTCCTGAGCAGTTTAATATATGCTTGGGCAATACACTTAAAGGGGCCTGTATATGTAGCAATGTTCAAGCCAATCTCAATTGTCATTGCTGTTGCCATGGGTGTTATGTTCCTCGGTGATAATCTTCATGTAGGAAGGTATGAGTATATTCAACTTTTACATTTAATTCTTCTTCAGAACATGGTAAAGTAAATACATAAATGCAGATAAAAACATAACTCATTCATGTTGAGCTTATACTTTATGATGTTATCTAGATTTAAACCAAACAAAATTGGATTGGAAAAAACTTGACTGAATTAAGGTAAGGAAAATGAAAATTTATATAATAAAAGATGAGATGGTATCGAAGAACAAAATTTAGAATAAGATCAGAGAAAAAGAGTAGCCAGTGGTAAATTGGTTACTCAATTGAAGTGAACAATGTTACTAAATTGGTAAATAGCCTAGACACTCTTTGTAGTTTGCTTTCTTGTTTGTTATTTTCAAACTGAGCAAAAGGGCATTTCAATTAGTTATTCTCATTAAAACCCTTTCAAAGCTCCAAATAGTAGTGCAATCAGTTCATTTTTCTACTGATTATGATACATTTTTGTCAGTGAGAAGAAAGTATGCAATTCAATGATATAGTATGTAGACATTTTCATTGGTGTAACATTCTTTCTGCATTCTGCAGTATAATTGGAGCCACAATAATATCAATAGGTTTTTATACTGTAATGTGGGGCAAAGCAACAGAAGAGAAGGAGGAGGAAAATGTTGGAAACCAGGAATCACCAACTGCTGAGAATGTTCCTCTCTTGCGAAGCTATAAAACTGTAAATTCTGAAAAGAAAATACATGGAAGTGTATAGATGTAGAAAACAAACTGTTTGCACCTCTTGACATTAGAGAAAATATCATTAAGGGACCATTTTTGGTCATAGAACAGCATGGTACTATGTGGGTCAACAACACTTTGGTTTCATTGTCCCCTAAGTGACCTCTGCTGAATACACAAGTTCTTGTCCCCTTTGCAGGATAGTGTATTGGAATTGCCTTCAACAAAATTCCTTAATTGTGTCCTTTCACCAAGAAGCAAGATTGGTGATACATAGCTTTCTGTTGAAGGAAAGAAAACAATGAAATGAATGCGGTGCAAATGCATTTAAATAGATAACAAACGTCAAATATAAATGGATATTAAGGATCACCAATTTCGTGAATCAACTAGTATCAAATTATTCGGGCTTAACTAGTGGTCTCGAGTCCTATGAATGCATCTGTTTTAAAACTTTGATAAGGAAAGTTTTGCAGTTTTTGTCGTCGACTAGGTTGATCGAGTAATGGATCAACCAGTGGAGAAATTAATTTTTTTTTTTGGATATTTAGGTAGTAAACTAAGTGAAGAATTGCACCATAAGAAATTCAGTTGAATTATGAACATCATGCATGAAACTACAGTACTAGTCACAGATATCGTGTTTCCTCCAATTGAACAAAAGGCCATTTCAATTAGTTAATCTCATTAAAACCCTTTCAAAGCTCCAAATAGTAGCGCAATCGGTTCATTTTTCTACTGATTCTGATGCATTTTTGTCAATGAAAATGAAGTATGCAATTCAACATGTTGACGTTTTCATTGGTGTAACATTCTTTCTGCATTCTGCAGTATAATTGGGGCCTCAATAATATCAATAGGCTTTTATACTGTAATGTGGGGCAAAGAAACAGAAGAGAAGGAGGAGGAAAATGTTGGAAGCCAGGAATTACCAACTGCTGAGAATGTTGCTCTCTTTGAAAGCTATACGTAAATAACCAATTCAACCTAGGAGCTTAGAGTAATGGGTAAGATTACATTAATGGTTTTATATATCTCTAATACGTCCTTTCACACGAGAGCTCATTGGATTTGAAAGATGGATAATGCACAGGCTCACTTACCTGTGTTAAGAAAGAAATTTTATTAGAAAGAAAGTTGGGGAGGGTGTGAGGATCGAACTAGGTACACCGAGCTCTGATAATATCATGTAACGAACCAATTCAACCTAGAAGCCTAAGCTTTTGGGACATGTTACATTAATGATTTTATATATCTCTAACACGCCCCCCTCACAAGAGAGCCTCGTGGGCTAGAAAGGTGGATGATGCATCAGGCTCAGCCTGCTAAGAAATTTCACAAAGAAAATAGGGGGCGGCGAGAATCGAACCGGGACATCGAGGCTCTGATACCATGTAAATAATCAATTCAACCCAAAAACTTGAGTTGGTGGGTGAGACTACAGTAATGGTTTTATATATCTCTAATACTATAAAACTCTGAATTCTGAAAAGAAAATACATGGAAGTGTATAGAAGTAGAATACAATCTGTTTGCAGCTCTTGACATTAGAGAAAATATCATTAAGGGATCATTTTTGGTCATAGAGCAGCATGGTGTTATGTGGGTCAACACTTTGGTTTCATTGTCCCTGAGGCTTTGTTTAGGAGTTTGGAGGGGAAGGAAAGGAAGGAGATCCAAGAGGGAAGGAGGGGAAGGAAATTGAAGGGTATTCTCTTCTCTTGTTTGGGAGTTAAAAAAAATGATAAAACATAAAAATAGAGGGTTAATGAGATATTTTTATCATTTTACCCCATTTTTAAAATTAATATAATTATTATATTTTTAAATTAAATTAAATTTAAAATTTCTAACAAAATTATTTATGTACTTTTCATAATACTAAAAAATATCATATTTTTGACCAAATTTCTACGTTGCAAACAACAAAAATTTCGTCACAAATTTTTTTTTCCGTCGGAATACTTTGTGTCGAAAAGCAATAGAATTTTTTCTCCGATGAAAATTTTTACAAAAAAATTTTTTCTATCGAAATTTAGTTTTCGTCAAAAGTTTTGACGAAAATGATTTCCTCAATCACATGTTTTAAACGAAAAAAGAATTCCATCAAAATTTTGACGAAATGTTTTCCGTTCAAAATTTTGATGGAAATATGTTCTGACAAAAATTTCGACGGAAATTGTTTTGTCAAAATTATTGAGGGAATTGTTTCATTCGAAACTTTCGATGAAATATAGATTTTGTAAAGAATTTTGACATAATATTTTTTCCGTTAAAACATTTTATCGAAATATTTTTCATCAAAATTTTTACGGAAATATTTTATGTCAAAATTTTTTGACATAAATGTGTTCCGTAGAAAATTTTGATGGAAATATTTTTTGAAAAAAGTGTGTCATTTGAAGGGATATAAAGTTGTGTCATTTTAAATAAGAGAAAGAGATAGATCATGGGGGAGAGAGTAGACAAAAAAAATAAAGGTGTGGGTCTCACGTCTTTGTGAGAGTGAAATGACACAAGATGTGTCATTTAAAATGACAAATACTTTTCCCATATTTTTTTATCAAAAAACTTGACGGAAAAATTTTTCGTCGAAAGTTTTCGATAGAAATGTGTTTCTTTAAAAATTCTAACAAAAATTTTTTGGGGTTTGCATTTTTCATTTAACATGACACAACAAACTTTCCTACATACACAATATTTTGTGGGGCCCACACTTTTTGAAGAAAAAAGGAAAACTACGGCACACAAAACGAATCTATATAACATTACACAATCATTTTTCGTACAACATAACTCTTATAAAACCCAAAAAAAATTTGTCAAAAACTTTAACAAAAATGTTTCCGTTGAAAACTTTCGATGGAATTTAAATTCTATAAAGAATTTTGATGAAATTTTTTTTCGTAAAAAAATTTCGATGGAAATGTGTTTCATTGAAAGTTTTGATGGAAATATTTTTCGTCAAAAATTTCGATGAATATGTTTTTTTGTGAAATATTTTGAGGAAAGTGTTTGACGAAATTTAGATTCCGTAAAGAATTTTGACAAAAAAAAATTTCCGGCAAAATTTTTTACATAAATGTTTTTAGTCAAAAAATTTAATGGAAATGTTTTTTATCGAAAATTTTTGCGGAAAATTTTAATGGAAATATTTTTAGTAAAAAGTTTTTACGTAATTGTATTACGTCGAAACTTTTCGATGGAAATTTGTTTCGTCAAAATTTTGACGGAAATATTTACGTGAAAAGTTTTGACGGAATTTAGATTCTATCAATAATTTGATTGAATTTTTTTTCCGTAAAAAAATTATGTCAGTGATTATAGCAAAATCTGTTTCGTCTCTAATTTTGTTTTTAGTTTTGAGGGAAATTTTTTGGCGTATATGATTTTCATAAAAATTTCATCACTATTTTTCATCGATAAATTATGTTGGTATTTAAGACTTTTCTAATAATGTCACATTTAAAAATGATTCACATTTATGTAGTTTTCACATTTTAATGCTAATGGTAGATAAGTAATTTTTAATATTTCCCCTTAAATCCCCCAAATTGAGGGAACTTTAATTTTAAGAAGGAGGAGGTTTTGGAGGGTTTAGTAAAAATTTCTAATTTCTTCCCTTTATTTTTTTAAACTCGCAAATAAGGAATGACTTACTAAAATCCTCACTTTCCTTTCCTTCCCCTTCTAAAACCAACTCCCAAACAAAGCCTAAGGTGGTGTTTGGTTGGGGTATTCTTGAGGATGTCTATGCAAGTGAAAGTGGGAAAGCAAAACAGCCATATTTGGTTCACGGTTTCCTTCAATTTCCCCATCTAAGTGATTTGCATAGATTTCAACATTTGGTGGTAGATAGCTAGGAAAATCTACTGTTAGGAAAGTCAATTTGTATGTGGTTTTTCAAAGATAGCTAGGAAAATGAAGCAAAACACCTAGTAAAATTTTTCCCCACCAAACAACTTTTTTTAACATTTTACTATCTATCTCACTTTGACCTCCTGAATATCCAAGTTGTTGCCCCCTTCGAAGGATAGTGTATGGAAGATTTTGAGAAGTTGCTTACCGGATGTAGGACAATTATTGGAATTGCCTTCAATAAGAAGCAAGATTGGTGTACATAGCTTTCTGTTGAAGGAAAGAAAACAATGAAATTAATCGGTGCAAATGTATTTAAATAGATAACAAACATCATATATATGGATATTAAGGATAACCAACCTCGTGGATGATGCACCCAAGCTGACTCGCTTGGATTGGACTTTTCCATAATTTATTTCTTTATTTAGGGATTTTTAATAATTGCTAGTTATTTTCTTTTTGTTATTTTAGATTATATTTGAGTGTGCGTTGATTGTACATTATCTCCTTTGATTGCGCATGATTATAGTTATTTACTTTTTTTGTTATTTTATTTTTGCCTATTTAAAACTTGAGAACCCTATTGTTATTCGTTTTTTTTATTAAATAAAATTAAGAAAAGAGAAATAGTATTTTCTCGCAATTCTTGTGTTCGTTCTTCTTTATGTTTAGCCAATAGGTTACTGCTTCGGCATTATTTGGTAATCAGAGCTCTTGTTGTCACTTAAATGGCTAAACAGAACAATGGCAATCGAGGTCGAGGTCTTGGACGACGGGGTTGAGGCGATGGTGGCGGTAGAGGGCGTGGTAACACCCTTTATGGCGACGACGAACAACCACACATCGACGCGCGAGACGCCACAATTGTAGCAATGGTCGCTACAATGGCAGAACAAGGTAGACGAATTCAGGAGCTCGAACAACGGTTTGCCCAAACATAGTTGGACGAGTTAGATGAAGGAAGAGAATCTGAAAGATCATCTCATGAGGAGGAAAAGAGTGAAAACACATTATGGGACTGGAACCAGGAGCGACGAGGACGAAGTAAACCTGGTAATCAATCCTTTTTTGCCAATATTAGGGTGAAGATTGAGATCCGGAATTCGAAGGCACCACTCATCCATATGAGTTGATCGACTGGTTACACATCATCGAAATAGTCTTTGATATCAGAGACTTGATAGAAGATCAGAAGGTCAAACTGGTCACTATCAAACTAAGAAAGCATGCCTCAATTTGGTGGGAACATATTAAGAAGCAGCGAAATAAAGAAGGGAAGTCAAAGATCAAGAGTTGGGATAAGATGAAGAAACTATTTCAACAAAAATTCTTATCAATTCACTACCGGCAAGAGG